CTCAGATATTGCCTACTCTGGAAATAATTAACACAACTGTTGGAGACGTGGTACATTAAAAGATGATTTGCTGCATATTAGTAGACACACCCCCAAATTCAGGGTTTTTTTTGGCAAACAGTAATTCAGTTTATTAATGACATGCCATTGAGAAATCTATTCCTTTGGAACCCAAGGTTACTTTACTAGGTTAATTCAAACCGTATGTAACCCCACAGATATGGAGATTGATCTGAAGTTACTTACGACTGCAAAAATGGCAATAGCTACAATTTGTAAGAAGATAGAATCCCATCTACAGGGAGTTGTTTTAATCATGTCTGGCACATTGTGCTGCTGATAAAGCTGTCATATCAGAAATGTCAAAAGAAATAATTCTTACAGTTTGGACAAGTTTCATTAATGTTCGGTACAGTTTATTGCTTTTTGGAATAACAAATTATAAGATAGAGAGGCTTTCTATTTGCCTTCTGTGAATTCCTATAATGTGCCTCATTTTGTTTGCCTGTCTGTAAATTTATCCGTTAACCCAAAGGACAAAAAAATACCCTGCATATACTAGAATCTAGCAAATGTGCTTGAAGGAAGGTTCATTGGTGTGGAACCACTGGAAAATTCCTGCACATCAAGGAATTTCAGCCTATGAAATCTGACTTCACTGCCTACCCACTCCTGCTGCAGACCAAAATTCCAAACCCACTCCCCCCAAAAAAAATCATTTTGGGGGATAAGTACTTCAAGTGACAGTCCTTCCATTCACAGAAATGCTCTGGTGAATCCAAGCTCCTGTTCACAAAGCAGCTGTCTCATGACAAAAGCTAAATTATACTAAATGCTGTTAATGTACACTCAGAATATCAGTTTGATGTACGAGAGAAGGGATTGGTAGCACACATCTGGTGGCCACGCTCTATTATTTCTCATGGCACTCTGCTAGACCATTATGCTTTAATCCAGTGATTCCTGGTGTGATTGCCATGGGTGCCAGTTTTAGTGCTACGCGGAGGGGCAGGGGGTGCAGATGTACTCAGTAGTTGAAAGAGAGTACTGCATCCCAGTACTGCATCCTAAGCTACTGTAGCACGTGTATCTTTAATTTAAATATTCTAAAGGGGAATAAAAATTGAAGATAGAAAACAAATAACAAAAGCATTATCATATGGCCACAACATGTCAGAATATCAAGTTATTTATAACACTGAACTCTTTAATAGTATATTATCAAACACATTCTTGCCAAACACATGAAAACAACAAACATTCTTGAAAAATATGTTTTATATGTCTACAATATACATATGAATTATTACATAATATTGTAAATTTTCTTATATGGACATTTTCACACTACACGTTTTGAGTAAAATGTTGGCTCAAAAACATTTCATTCATTCCAAGAAGAGTGAAAATAGCAGATTTTTTTCTTCCATGCGCCCCTAAATTCCCCAGTTTTCCATTGGGAAAAAACCTGAAAAAGTTTTTTGGGGGAGGGGCCTCCTCCCTCCAAATCCAGTTTTTTTCCTAGGCATTAATGTCTTTGCTGTCACCATAGGTGGGTGTTTTGACTTGAACCTCTCAGCATTTCACTGTTGGCCCCAGCCCCCATGGGAGCCACGCCGACAGCTGCTACTTGCTCTTGAAATTCAAAATTGCCCACAGGCTCAACAACACTGAGGCCCCTTTCTATGGCATGACCAATTATTCAGTTCTGGACACCACTGGATTTTAAATTCTGGAAATGAACTATAAAAACTGGAAGGTGTGTTTATTTACTTTTAAAAACAACAACCATTAATCCTGTGATTAGGATTTGATTTCCAACCCCATTCTGTTTTCTCAAAGGAATTAAAGCAGAAGACAGCCAAATAGCTCAATTCTATCCATAATGACAAATACTTTAAAGTACCTATAGATAACTTGCTAAAAGTTTGCTTGACAAAAACACTTGAAGAGTGAAAATAACTGAATTGAAAAAAATTCTGCCAGCCCAGCTCTAACTTAGGACTCAAGGTTGTGCTTCTTGCCATTTTTGTCAAGGACATTTAGCTGAGTGATGCTGGTGCCAGTAAATAATAGTACATGAACATTATGAATAGAACCACAAAGCTTTAAGAAGAAGTTGTGAAAACTGGAGACCAGTTTGATAAGTTTTCATGAGGATACTACTGCACTTTATTTGTCTGACTATATGCTTTAAGATTTAAGTTTCAAGAGTTCTTCATCAAACAGGTACAAAACTAGATCCATTGGGTTGCTTCTGTTTTCCCAAAGCTTGTGTGCCTTTACCAACAGCTCCTCCTACCATGAATACGCAGACAGTGGGAAAGCTGCACCTCTTGAATGTCTGTCTGTGATGCGGCTGTTAAAGGAACTGAGTCTCCCTCAGAGAAAGGACAGTGACAGCAAACAGATTAGACTGTAGCAAATTATACAATTACCAGCTCTTACTAGAAGTTGGCAGAAAGGGTTATGGTTTCTCACATCTAAACGTGTGTCTTCTCTAGACTAACTATTACCAGCATGTCCAAGGAAGCTCCTCACTAACAAGTGACTTACATAAGCATAGAAGCAAAGGAAAAGATTCCAAGGAGTTTGCTTTTCATATCTTTTTCTAGTATAAAAATAAAGATGCAGTTCCACTTTACAGTTTAAAAAAAATACTTCTCCATAGTGAAACTTTTAATAAACATTCAACTAAAGTAAACAAACCTTTTTTCCACAGTTTGAAAAGACCCTGTAAATGCTAAATCATTATCATGGTATTATCCAGGCAGAAATCTGCATTTCCCAACCCATGCCTCCATAAGGCACACTCTAGGACTGGATATGCAAGTAAGGCGTTATCTATACTGCGTAGGATTTAAGCGTTCTTTCAGCATATATGTCTCACAGATTCAGACCTACCATTGAAAAATGGTGATGTTCTCACTGCCCTTGTTAAGCAAATCTCTCTTTCAAGCAGGGGTCATTTCCTGCAGGAGCGGAGCTCTGGCAGTAAAGAGCCCAGGGGGCGGGCACATGCAGAAAGCCCCGCCCCCTGCTCCCAGCAGCCCTGGGCCACAGGGAGCAAGAAGCAGCCAGATAAATTGCAGAGCCCCTACCCCCGTCGTACCGAGGCAGAGAGCCTCCGGAGCCCTGCCGCCCACCTTTCCAAGCACCTGGCTGGTGTGGGGTGGTGGTGGTGGCAGGGGTTTGATTGGGGAGTTGGGACATGGGGGTGGCAGGGCTTTGATGGCGAGGTGAGGGAACCACGGGGTGGTGGTAGGGGGCTTGATCGGGGGGTGGGAGAGCCTCCCTCCCTCCCCATCTGTTCGCCCTCTTTCTTTCCCTCCTTCTTTCCTTCTCTCCTTTCTCTCTTGCCCTGCTTTCCTTCTCTCCCTCTTTCTTTCACTCCTTCTTTCCTCCTCTATTTCTTTCTGTCCTTTTTTCCTTCTCTTTCTTTCTTTCTTTCCCTCCTTTCCTTCCTGCACAGATCTGTGCATTTCCCCCCATAGATAGCAATCCAAAACAGTCCAGTGGCAGCTTTAAGACCAAGTTTTTTATTCAGGTACAAGTTCCCCCTTCTCTGTGAGGGCACATCCGTCCCCCTATAGCTAGCAATCCAAAACAGTCCAGTGGAGCCTGAGCAGTGGGGGTTGCCTTGACACACTTCCGATGATGTCAGGGGATGTGGCATATGCAAATGTTATGCTAATACATTGTGCTAATAAGTTCCTGCACTTATTTTTCTACGAAATGACCCCTGCTTTCAAGTCAGTCTTGTAATACATAATGAGTGAGTTCTTTGGCCATGAGGTTCTCGGAGCTAGTAATGATCATGACTGTGCTTCCCTCCTTCAGTGCCTGCTTACAAAACACCACCTGAGTTTGCAATGGCAAGTCCCACAGGTGTTTCAGACAAGCGAGACTGAAAAGACTTCTTCCGGCTGCCGCTTTTCCATTTGGTTTACCTTTAGCCTGAGATTCAGTTGTGGTTAACATGTTTTCCCCTAAGAATGGCATGGCTGCCAGGTCAAATAGGTGCAGCTTTCTCCCTCACTGTATCTCCATGTTTTATGAAATTTTACCTGTTTAATTTCTGCCTCAGGCAAAGGCCCAAAACTTCAGCCAGAAACTTCAGCCAGAAAAAAGACACCACTTTAACAGCTTTAATACTCAGAAAGTACTTCAGTCAAGAGGAATAGGACCTTTTATAGGAAATAAACAGTATTATAATATTGAACCTCTTTCTAACTGAAGCCAATAAAGACCAAGGATCAGAGTCAGGTCTCTCCAAGCACTCTTCAGCAACTTAATGAATCTCCAGCTACCTTGTTTTATAAGTTTATTTAAGAACGAAGAAGAGTGTAATACAACTGTCCTTCCTCTCTTCTTTCTGTCTTTTCAGAATAGTCAAAAATGGGTTCCCGTCATCTGCACTCATCATTATGTTTGACAGCAAAAAACTTTCTCACATAGCTCAACTGTTTTTTTAAAAAATTCCAAAGGATCACCTCATAAAGGACACAGATATTTGCCAATCAAACGTTTAAGTAATTTCCTGCTACCATCATTGCCACTTCAGGTCATCCTGATCGCTGTCACACAAATTATCACCTTTTTAATATATACTGATTGTTTTTGGAAAATAATGTTCCTCTTAGAGAGGTATGAAACGTATTTGGACCACGCAAAATTCACTTTCATTACAAATAACTTCTTCCACAGCATGCTCATAACTCCACTGCAGACTTCTAAAAGTCTGTCCCTTGCTGCTTATACAATGTGGTATGGTGGCAAGTTGCATAACCAGCAACTGCTGGGGATGGGGGGGGGGGAACCTTAGCAGGCTTTTTCCCCCAAACTGAAAAGTCCCAGACTCTCCAGTTTCAATGCAAAGGAAAAATGTCCCATCCTAAAAATCCTGGTTGCCCTCTTCTCCCGAGCCTGCCTAGGCTCTTTCTCTGACCTTCCATTGCCCCAACTCTCAAGAAGCAGCCTTAGAGGAGACCACCGCTTACCCAAGCCGACTCCTTTCTGGAGGATTTTCAATGCCCCCTTGTAGTTTCCGCTCCTGAGCAGGTCCTCCAAATCGGCTTTCAGCCTGGCCACTCGGGTGTCTTTATCCAAGCATTTTTCCAGCAAGTCACAGAGCAGGACGTTGCACTGCACAGTTCTCGAGCCCAGGAGGACGAGCTTGTCCCCACAGACGCAGCACTTGGCGGGCGAATCTTCTCCCAGGCATCTTCTGCAGAAGGAATGGCCGCACGACATGGTCACCGGCTCCCACAGGGCTAAGTGGCAAGAGGCGCAGAGGAAAACCTCCATGGCTTCTGCTTCCGCAAGTCGGGCTGGGGTGGGGGGCGTGTATACCTGCGAGAGAGCCTACAGGAGTCCTCTCGGAAGGCCCCGTGAAGGGCACCCGAGTCCTCGCGAAAGAAATACCATCGAAATGAAGCGAAAGTGCGCGCGGGCGGGCTCCGGGAAACTCGGTGCCTAGCCGGCTACTCTGACCCTGCTGCGGACACTTGGCCGAGGGCAGAAGTGACTCTTCCTTCTTTAGGTGCTTTCGGCAAAACCAGGAGCCAAGTAGCAGGCTCTTAAAGGCACACGCGCCCTCGGCTAACTTTTCTGCTTCAGAAGGATGGAGACTCGGAGTCAGCGGAGGGGGGGGGGCGCTTCTGTTTCAATTTCCCTTCCGTCTACTCCGCCGCTTTGTTGCACTTTTCTCCTGGCTCAACCTGCAGCATCACCCTGCGATGGGCTTCTTTCAAAGCTACGGCCCGGGCTGACTTTTTGTCGCTCCCGGGACCTTCGACCCCTTCCCCCTTGCCAACTGCTCTGGAAACGAAGCGGACCGGTTTCCGAGGTCAAGACACCCAGCCGGGAGTTGCGGCTTTGCGTTCTTGCCTCCTTCAAGCGCGAAGTTCAGCCGGATCATCTACAGCGCCCTGAGTGTGTGCCAGGCGGCTGGGAAAACGCTGAGCCAAGTCGCTCGGCTTCCCGGCTCGACTTCTGGGGCTCTTTTTTATTTCGCCTCGGCTGTCCTTTCGTCTACCAGCGGAGGAGAGGGGGGAGTAGAAGGAAACCGCGTCCCGCACTTAACGAGCGAAGGGTGGAGGAAGCAAAGCCCAGGTACACGAATAACTTTTCATGCGCAACGGGCGTTCCCTTTTCTTCCACCCCAATTTCTTCTCCTCCTCCACCCCGCCCCTTTCCTCGACTTTGGAAGAAGCTTTTGTTTCTTTGCTTACACACGCACAAAGCGCTCCGCGTATTACATAAAATCTGGAGCCGACCCATGTGATGCGATCGAGGAGCGGCCCGATTGGCTGCCGGCGTGTGCCCGCCCCTGCTGGGAAGACGCGTTGCGGGCGGCGTTTCATAATCTCTGAAATGATATGATGAGGGGCGGTGGAAAAGAGCCGCCCGGCCGAGCATCCCGCCCGGCTGAGCTGGCTTCGCTTTCTCGGAGGGGCTCTGGCGAATTCTTGCCCAAACAAGGAGTCGGTGGCAGCCTCGCCCGGGGGCTCCTGTCTGCCGCCGTCGTGATTGATCGCAGTTCGCCGGTCGCGCGGGACTTGGGTGCTGCTTTCTGTTTTGACTTCTTTGGGTGATGCGATGAGATCAAAGGAAACAAACGTTGCGGCACCTCAAAGGCTTGCAGAATTCTAGTCCACCGTAGAAGAAGAGATTAGATTTATACCTCGCCCTTCGCTGCCCAAGGGAGCCTCAGATCGGCTTACAATCTTCTTCCCCTTTATCAGATGGCATGAATGAATCCTCACTTTGCATTTGCTAACGCAACGAATCATTAGTTATTAGTTGCAGGAAGTACAGAGAGAAAAGTAATAGCGTAAAATTCAGCTCTAATTCAAAAGAAATGAAGAGACCAGTCACTAGTTAAGCTGAACTACTTAACATCTGTAATCAGGGGCCGAGAGGAGAGTCACCCTGAGGTAAATTAGATTTGAGTCCAGTAGCACCTCAGAGACCAGCAGGAGTTTCAGGTGTAAACTTTCTCCAGTCAAAGGTCCCTGGCTTTGACACTGGAAAGCTTATATTCTGAAACTAGGGGTGCCAGCTTCCAACTGGGAACTGGGGAATCCCAAGAATTAGAGCTCTACAGAGATTAGCTCCCCTGAAGAAAAATTGGTACTTTGGAAGGTGGACTCTGGCATTTTACCCCCCTTAAGTGCCTAAATTCCATCCCCAAATCTCCAGGAGTTTCCCAGCCTGGGTCTGCCAACCCTACCTGAAACTCTTGTTGGTCTCTACTGGACTAAAATCTAACTGTTCTGCCGCAGACCGACACGGCTACCCTCTGAAATAGTGAGAAACCAATCCTAAAGCTGCAATCCTAAAAAAAAACCCACTTTCCTGGAAGTGAATCAAATACGTTGGAGTAGACCAGCTGTTCCGTCTAGTGCTAAGAAATTATAAAGGATCCAGCAATTAGAGTGGCACAAGATACAAAAAGACAGATATTGCTGTGTATGTTCATCAAATTTTATATGCTTCTCAAGCATATAATCCTGAATGGAGACCGGTAGACAATAGAGCTATGAGCAGCTGTTTCTGAACTTTTGTAAACACCACATATACAGTCAAGATTGGAATTGTAAGAACACTATAGACAACATGAATTGACATCTGAGAAAGATATTGTTCGAAACGGACTACAGAAAGCCTGGGAAGGTCCGTCCTACTTCTTCTTCTCTTCTGAAGACTTTGTTCTTATTGAGTTGTTTGATGTATCTGAAAAACAAAATACAACTTGGAAAATTGAAAATTTGATGAACATACACAGCAATATCTGCCGTCTAGCGCTAAGTCAGAAGTCAACAGCACCTTGCTTAGAATTGCTCCCTCAGTCTTGGGGAGAGAATGTGAATCCTTCTTTGATCAGAGTTTTACTTTCTGTAAGGCATGTAGATTGTCTCTAAATACACACAGGCTGTAGTCTTCTGCTATTATCTGGAAATAAATCCTTTTGAATTCAGGAGTCAGGAACCAAAAAAGTCCTTTCCTTAAAAAACAAAACATGGAGTTAGACTTGCTTTTTGCAAGCAGTAGTCCACAGTGCTGCATGGCAAATCCCTCTGGAGAAGGAAAGGAATTTGGGGAGCAGGCTTTGACATGGTATGGGGTACAAGAACACATGTTGTTCAAAGGGGGTGGGAGAGTCCAAAATGCCACTGGGTTAGCACCAGCCCTTCAACGCACCTATGCAGGGCTTCAAATCCAAGTCAGTGAGACTTACTTCTGAGTAAATGCATAACTTGGGCTGTAAATATACTTGCACAGTAATTAACATGTTTACTAGCTTGCGAAAATACAGTGGCTTACACTCCATTGAGTTAAGTGGGAGATGCATGAACAGGACACCACAAATTTGTTTGCACTTATTTTATCTACTGTTGAGTGTGTGTATACATATACATACACACATGTATGTGTATATACAGAGAAAGAGAGAGATGAAGATGCAGAACTGCAATCCCAAACATATTTACTACGGAGTAAATTCTATTGAATTCAATGGGATTTATTTCCAAATAAGTATTGGTGTTAGATCTAGGAGGTGTTGTAGGTCTTCATAGAACCGGTCCACTTCAGCCTCTTCTGCATCAGTGGTTGGGGCATAGACTTGGATTACTGTGATGTTGAATGGTTTACCTTGGAATCGGACAGAATTCATTCTGTCATTTTTGAGATTGTATCCCAGTACTGACTTTCGCACTCTCTTGTTGACTATAAAGGCCACACCATTTTTTCTACGACATTCCTGGCCACAGTAGTAGATATAATGGTCTTCTGAGTTAAATTCGCCCATTATGTCCTGACACATCACTGGTTTTAAGGCCAATTTATTAGCTGCTCGTGGAAATACTTGGATTTTGATAGCATTCCAAATCAAAGCTTTTAAAGTGTTAAGTAATCAACAACTATCTTCTTTTCCTGAATGTGAAATTTGTTTTTCACCATTTGATGTGTTTTCATGTATATGTTTACAATCAGACTGGATCTTTCTCTTCACCATTAAAGTTGCACATTCTTGTAGAGCACTAAAAAGTTATTAAATGTAATTTCAAATAATAAAATAGGAATAGTCAGTTGCCATAGTAACAAACACCATTGCTTCTTCATGCAGATTGGGGGATAAAGTGTTGAAAAACTGACATGTCAAAGAGAAAAATTGAGGTTAAATACAAAGGAAGTAGATTATTAATCCCTAAAATAGAAAAGTGTTTGCAATAGGAGCATGTATCATATAGACTGAAAGTGTTATTTAAATTAATAAGAATATTGCTGCTCGTAGCTTGTTTCACTGAATAATATGGTAACCCATAAAGAATACATAAGCAGCTTCTCAAACATTTTAACTAGATATCACATTTCTGAAATATAAGGCTATAAAACAAATGGTAGCTTAACCCAATTTCATTAAGTGGTAGCAAGTTCCAGCACTTCATCCCTGACAGCTTGTTTCCTTGTTAAGAGAGAATACTGGAAAGTTATGGTGTATTGATAATAGATACTGGCTTAAACGTATGCAAGGAGAACCTACTGGAAATAAGAAGACATCTAAAGCCTGCCCCAGCGGGGAGGGCGGGATACAAATCAAATAAATAATAAAGCACACAGCACAACTGTGACCCTCAAAAGCAGTTTGTTGGGGAGCTTCAGTGGGTGGGTAGATGGTGAGGGAGAAATCCATTCAGTAGAACTACTTGTGTTCCTGCTTCATAGTACCCCATTCATTATGTTTTGGTTTTTTAAGGCAAATACCTACAAAGGGAATATTGTGACGAGCTGTATTAGGATCTAAACAGCTTGTTGCTGTGCTTGTTCATTCTCCTTATTCTTACCCCTCCTGAATCATTCAAGCACAACTGAAGTTCTCCAGGTCTGGGAAGCATTGAACCAAACTTCAATTCTTTGTGATGTCAGAATGCAGATGTTTGGATGAATTGGTCCGTACATACACTATCTAGGTTTCTGAAAAATTAATACAAGTTTAGAATCCAATTTTTATCTTCATGAATCAGCTTTATGCTTTATCTGTACTAGTTCTGTTTGGCAGGATGTTTGGGCTTCAGCCAGTGGAACAGCCAGAAAGACAATTGGCCACAGAGGCCATTAATCACATTACACAGGGGAAAACTGAGGTTTATTCCACATCAGTGGATTGCAGCCAATCTTAGCTCTCTGACAAATGTCATGGTACGATGCACATGTTTGAAAACACATTTGTCACATTTATTATTTTGATAATGTATATATAAACATGTTGCATGAACACATAAAGTGTAATGTGTGAAGTCTTGGAAAGCCAAAACACTTTAGGTAGAAAAAGAAACATTTTAAAGATGAACCTAGTGGTCAGGAAAGAATAAGAAATACATTGGGTCTTCTCAGGGGTCGTTTCGTAGAAAAAGAGCTAGGGGAACTCATTAGCATAACTCATTAGCATATGCCACACCCCCTGACATCACCGGAAGTGTGTCATAAGGCCACACACCCCGCCCCCAACGGTCCCGGCCGCCGGCGGCCTTGCAGCTCCACTGCCGAGCCCCATAAGAGGCCCGGCGGTGGACCTGCAAGGCCAGCGGGAGTGCAAGGAAGCCCCGCGAAGGCCCTCCCTAGCCCCAGGCAGGCAGGGGTGGGGAGAGGCAGGGAAATCGCATAATATAGTTTGTAACTTTCATATGTGCTGCATAGTTAAAGTGCAGTGTTCATAGTAACTGAACATTTACACTGGGCAGCTTGTTCCTGTCTTGAGGTCTTCCCCATATTCTCAGGAAGCCCATGTTACAACACAGGTGCCCAAGGAAGCCCAAGCAGAAATTGCTCTCAAGGAGTGGGAGAACTATTAATAACCACTCCTCAGTGCCCTCCTAAACCATTCCATTATACGACAGCCCTATTCCCTTTATAAAAATACCCTCCTGAACAATTAACCATCATTGAGTCCAGTAGCACCTTTAAGATGAACAAAGGCTTATTCAAGGTATGAGCTTTCATGTGCATGCACACTTCCACCTGGATCAATAAACAATCATGTGAGACCACTGTAGCTGAACTTGAACAGTTATATATTTTTAAAGTGGCCAATACTGAATAAATTTTTGAATAACCAATACTTTAAAAAAGAAAAGAAACAGCTTACCGTTCCTCCATGCTTGATTGCATCCTCTGTTCTGACTTAGCTCAGCTTTATTTCTGAGCATCTCCAAGCAAGAAATATCCAGAAATCCAATATTCCAGATAAAACCTTGGTGGTGGGGAT